TAATGGGATTGTGAGCCAGCATCACTGCAGACTGATTGTCGCACAAAACCATTGGCTGTTTTGCAGGTACACAGAGTTCAGCTAACAAGGTTTGAAGCCAGAGTAAATCAGCAGTGGCCTGAGCTAGACTCTTGTATTCTGCTTCTGTGCTGGACCTAGCAACCACGGTTTGCTTCTTGGACCACCAGGATACTAAATTTCCTCCAAAATAGATGGTTGCACCAGACGTACTACGTCTATCATCAGGGTCTGAAGCCCAATCAGCATCACAGTAAACTTGAAGAGAGGGAACTGCAGATGGAACATAAGGAGAGAGATGAAGACCATACTGAACAGTACCCTTGAGATATCGAAGAATCCTCTTAACAGCAACCCAATGCGTTTCAAGGGGGTGAAACATAAACTGGCAAACTTTATTTACAGCATAGGCAATATCAGGGCGTGTAATGGTTGAATATTGAAGGGCACCAACCACTGACCTGTACATATAAGGATCAGCCAGAGCAGGGGAGCCAAGTTTAGTTAGTTTGCAGGAGGACTGCATAGGAGTGGAAACAGGGGCAGAATCAGCCATGTGAGTTCTGTGCAATAAATCCCTAACATACTTGGATTGAGTGAGGAGAAGAGATCCTTGAGCAGCAGATTTTACTTCAATCCCAAGAAAATAATCCAAGACTCCCAAATGTTTGAGAGAGAAGGCAGCATTGAGTTGATGAATAATAGACTGAAGCAGGGTAGTATTGTTGCTGGTGATGATAATGTCATCCACATACACAAGTAAATAAACAGTGTTACCATTGGCAGCAAGGATGAACAAGGAAGGATTGCACTTGCTGGGTTTGAAATGCAGTCTAAGGAGGGCCTCTTGCAGCCTTTCAAACCACTTCCTAGGAGCCTGCTTCAGGCCATAGAGTGCTTTATGCAGTTTGCACACAAGAGAGGAATCTGAGCTGACAAAGCCAGGGGGTTAATCCATATAGACTTCTTCATGAAGAAGACCGTTCAGGAAAGCATTGTTAACATCAAGCTGCTGAAGAGACCATTTGTGGGTGAGAGCAATGGTCAGAATGAGTCTGATTGTAATTGGCTTTACAACAGGAGAGAAGGTCTCATTGAAATCACACCCTTGCTTCTGATGAAACCCTTTTGCTACAAGGCGTGCCTTGTACCTGCTGACAGAGCCATCAGGATTCTCCTTGATACGAAACACCCACTTGCAGCCTATAGACTGCCTATGAGGAGGAAGGGGAACAAGAGTCCAGGTGTTATTGCTACTCAGAGCATCAAATTCAGACTGCATAGCCTCTTTCCACTTAGTATCTGCAAGAGCCTGCTTTACAGTCTTGGGTTCTGTATGAGTGAGTAGCACCTTTGGTTGCACAAATCCAGTTTTAGCTCTTGTGACCATAGGATGTTGATTAACAGGTTTGGAGCTAACTGTTATAGCATTAGAAGGTAGGCAGCATAGTGTAGGGGTAGCTGTCAGAGGTTTTGAAGTAGATGCCATAGAGGACAGCTGAGAGGGAGAAGAAATATTTGTTACAGGGTCAGTAAGGGAGGGAGAGATGTCCCCTCCCAGACTTGTTGAAGGAGAAGGACTGGAGGGAATGACAGGGGCAGGTAAGTTATTAGAGGAAAAGGGGTCAGATGTTAGTGGCACAGGCTTGGGAAGAAGGATGCTGGAAAACATGGAGGATAGAGATGATGAAGGTGTCTGACTAGTAGGTGTATTTCCATTTTGGGTAGGAGAAATAGGTGGAGAAAACAGCTCTAGATAGGGAAATATGGATTCATGGAACAAAACATCTTTGGATATATAAAGCTTACCACTAGGGGAAGGACATTTATAACCCTTGTGAGAGTTGGAATAACCCAAAAACAAGCATTCATGGGACCTGAATTCCAGCTTGTGCGCGTGATAAGGTCTCAGAAGAGGGAACAAGCACAGCCAAACACCTTCAGAAACTTGTAGTCAGGAGCAATGTGAAATAGAAGAGTGTAGGGAACCTGGAATTGAATAGCTGAGGAGGGAAGTCTGTTGATGAGAAAGACAGTTGTGGTGAAGGCATAATCCCAGTATGTTAATGGTAGAGAGGCTTGACTTAACAAAGTCAAGCCTAGATCCACAATGTGTCGATGCTTCCTTTCCACCACTCCGTTTTGGTGGTGAGTATGAGGGCAGATAAATCTGTGCACAATGCCAAGGTCAGAAAGAAACTTGTTGAAGGGACGAAATTCTCCACCCCAATCTGACTGAATAACTTTGATAGGAAAACCAAATTGTAGTTCCACAAGAGACTTAAACTGCTTGAAGACACCAAGTGCTTCAGCTTTGGTTTTAAGCAAATACAGCCATGTGAATCTGGAAAAGGCATCTACAAATGAGATATAGTAGGTAAAGTCTTGTGCTGAAGGTTGAGGAGAAGGTCCCCACAAATCACAGTACACAAGCTCTAAAGGGTGAGAATAAGTGGTGTGTGAGGCAGGTGAATGCAATTTATGTAATTTACCCACACAACAAGCAGAACAGAAAAAATCATGAATTTTATTGCTAAATTTGAGATTACAACTTTGCAACACCAATCTCAAAGTGTTGATATTAGGATGGCCTAGTCTTAAATGCCACACATTGGACAAAGCAGGAGAAACATCAACAGTATTAACAGAAGGTGCGAGTTTGTTTAAAGAAGCTAAGGGCTTAGTGGACACAGCAGATTTGGAAAGGTTGAGCATAGGGAACTCATACAGCCCATCAGACCCCACATGACCAGTTAGCAGAACAGCGCTAGATACCTGGCATTTGACAAATCACGAATCAGCTGTGAAAAGGAAGTATACCTGATTGTCACGACAAAACTGACTCACACTTATGAGATTCTTGGTAATAGATGGCACATGTAAGAGATTATTAAGTGTGAGAGGTGTGTGAGGGTGATTTTGAGAAAGAAACTGACTAGAACCAGTAGAGTTGATGAGAAGACCTTGGCCATTGCCTATGTAGATTTGTTCATGACCCTCAAAAGGTGTAGCCTGCTGCAAATTATTGGCATCATTGGTGACATGATAGGAAGCTCCAGAATCAGGATACCAGGACATAGCAGAGGAAGAAGGAGTGGCATTAGCAATGAATGTGCTGGGAGCGGAATAGGTAAGAGTTGGCCTTGCTTGAGCAGTTGGAGGTCGTGTCCACACATTAGCAAGGAAATGACCATAGGGCACCTTAGGAAACTGCCAAGGGGCAGCATGATAGGGACTGCTACTGTAAGAGGGAGGCTGAAAGTGCTGATTAAACCTATGCCAGCAATTTAAAGCTGAGTGTCCAACTTTGGAGCAAACTTGACACTGAACTGTAGAATTTCTGCCACCTGAACCTTTTCCACGACCACCTCTGTTGGATCTGCCACCTCTAAAGCTGGAATACTCAGGCTCAGCACGAGAGGGAGCTACTTGTGAGTGAGCAGATTCAGTGCTGCCAGATTGAGGATTTTCAGGGGAAGCAGCTTGAGGTGAAACATGTGTAAGATTGAGAGATCCAAGATCTGGCACAGTAGTCTTCTTAAATCTGTTCAGCCTCAACTCATGTGCAACACGGAGAATTTCCACTTCATCCAAATCCATATCACCAAACTTACTCTCAACAACAGAAACAACCGAAGCATATTCGCTAGGAAGCCCCTCAAGAATCACATCAATGTGATGAGAGCTAGGAATAGGATCTCCAATTGAGGCTAGAGCATCCACAGTAGTGCGAATTTTCAACAAATAGTCAGAAACAGATTGAGATTCCATAGTTAGGGCACGCAATTCCATATGCAACTGGCGTGCATGAGCACGAGTTTTCTTATGGAAATAGCTGAATAGACGATCCTAGAGCTGATGAGAATGGGAGCATCCAAGGACACGCGACAGAATTTCGCTCGAGAGTGTGGATTGAAGCCAAGATAGAAGCAACTGATCTTTCTGAAGCCAAACAGAATATGCAGGATTAACCATACCTTGGCGACGAGCATCATCGTCCAAAAATTTGGACGGAATCCGAGTGCACACCACGAGATCCGTGAGATTATGCGCGTTGATGTAGGGTTCCACCTGTTGACGCCAGAGATGAAAGTTTTTCTCATCGAGTTTGTGCGCGATTTTGAGAGAGAATTGGAGATGATGCATTTCAGCAGTCGTCGCCGTGAACGACGGGGCCGGCACTGTGACGTTAGCGGAAGACGACGATCCTGGTGACGCCATGGATCGAGAATGGCTTAATCTGATACCATGATAGAAGACATAGCAAAGATAGAAAATATAGGGAAGCTTTTCATTTCTGTTATTTGAACTGCAAAGTTGGTTACAGATAGTGCATACAGTTGCATTTATAAGGCAATATGTGTGACCTGCTACAGCAGGTAGGCAAGCATACAGGACATGACAAGTGCCAGTCATAACAAGTTTAAAACAAGGCTTAACACTTCTATTATTTGCCTTACTCTAATATTCTGAGTGCTTGAAATAAATAACTAGGATGTTGTTCAAATTGGTTTCTTGAAAATGATTCTGTTTTTTGTCTCTTGTAAAAAATGAGTACATATGATTAGTATGAAAGTATCTGAACTGGACACGACAGTATAAAACTGGTTTATTGACCTCAAAAGCAATCTTATATTGTTGTAGTTGTCATTTGATCCTAACACGGCAGGATAGAACTCATTGCCTTGATCCTAAAACTAACCTCTACCTTCTCTTCTTCATTACAATTTACATTACAAACAGTATATATACCCTACTAAAATCTCTATCATAGCACCAAACACTAACAAGAATAACTAAGAGGTGTATAAACAAAATGAAGAGTGTTTTCTTTTATTTTCTTTTATTGTTTACTTATTTTAACAAGTTGCATATCTTCTCAAGATCAAAAGTGTCGACCAAACGGTAGAATTAGAGGAAAGAAGGCTCCATCAGGATAATGCAACAAAGAGAATGACTCTGATTATTGTGTCCGAGGAAAAATGTACACAACTTATGAGTGTTCACTGTCACTGTCTACTCATACTAAAGCTTATCTCACACTTAATATTTTTAAGAAAGGTGGAGATGGAGGTGGACCTTCAGCATGTGACAATCAGTATCATTCTGATGACACTCCATTTGTTGCACTTTTCATCGAATGGTTCAACGACAAGAGCAGATGTTTGAACAAGATTACCATCAGTGCTAATGGAAAAAGTGTGGTGGCCATGGTTGTTGATGAATGTGACTCTACAAAGGGGTATTATGTTGAACATGATTACCAACCTCCTTGTCCAAACAACATAGTGGATGCTTCCAAGGCTGTGTGGGAAGCTTTAGGCGTGCCTAAAAACCAATAGGGTGGCATTGACATTACTTGGTCATATGCTTGATTGTAGAAGATGAAATATATGTTTGGGTTCTTGTGATGTAATACTTATGTGATATTGTGTGTTTGAATTCCTCAATCTCATGTGTGTATATTATGTATATGTTGTTAAAAGTAAAGAACTCTGAACACCATCACTTTATGATATGACTGCAATATTGAACTACATAAGACGCAATACTTGTGTCCATGTTTACTATTGCGTAGCACCATTGAACTTTTAACATCACACACAATGTGAAATTGAATCTGTCGCAGTCGGTAAAAAGCCACATTCACAGTGTCAAACCAAGTAAGTCAATGTTTGGGTTTAGAGTTTAGGGTTTGCGTTTTTGGGTCCATAGTTAAAAATTTAGGAAAGAGATTAGATAATTTCTTACCACACTCTATATAGGGGAAAAGGACCCTACGAAATTCCAAAAATTCCCTCGGCAAATCGGAAATGTCTTTTCGGTGCGCACCCTTTTTATTGAGATTTTGTTAAAATCGAAACTATATTTATGGGACGGAACCGAATATGTATTTCTGGTTCCTATGCATACAGAAGTGTGTAGCAGAAACTGGAGGCGAGGATGGAATGAACTGGAGGAGATGTAGAAGACGGGGAAGTGCGTCTGTCGGACGACGTAGGCGGGGAGGGAAGAGCTGGAGATCCATGCCTGCTCCGGGAGGTCGATGGCGTAGATGTAGAAACACTAGAGGTTGTGGGTGATTCCGACACAGCCTATCCAGAGACAATAGGAGTCTGGGATGCCTGAATCCTTTCCTTAAGCATACATGCATGTTGTGAAACTCTCCCGAGCCTCAACCTATATCGTCTCTCACCCATTACTCTTGTAGAAGAACGAAACAAACGTTAACAATCATGCTTAGGTTAAAAAGTTTGGAAAAATGCATACTGACTAAAACCGAATATGCAGTTTCGATTTTGGAACGTTGAACAAAACCGAAAATGCATATCTAATTCGACCTGCAACATTTCTACTTCGTCAATGGCAAAGCTCAACCCCAATGACCTCAAAAAAACGGCCATTGTTCGTCAAAAATACGTACCTAACACTAACGGGTTTGTTATGACTCCTAACGTTGCAAACACTAAACAAGTTGAATTTTTGACCCTAAAACAGAATTTATAGGTAAAATTACATAAACTCTAAAAAACTCATAAACAACTTACAAGTGATGATTTTTTGCTTTAATCTGCTTGAACAATAAAATTTGTCTAATGCTTGATAATTCTTGATGAAATTTTCGCAAAATGGAATGACTTTGGCACAATGGGATTTGAGAGGGTTTGTTGTGTTTTCATATTCTGAAATAAGGAAGGGGAAGAGGCATGGCACGCTTAAGTGGCAACACGAACCGGAAATGCACATTCAATTGCAACCGTAAATATATTTTTGGTTCGTATCTGCGTTATATCTTGTTTTTCTCAGTGTTAAACATTGTGTGTATTTGGGGTGCAACCGAAAATACAAATATGATTTAGACAGTATGTATTTTTGGTTCACCTTTTCATATGGTCTAGACAACATATATATATATATATATATATATATATATATATATATATATATATATATATATATATATATATATATATATATATATATATATATATATATATATATATATATATATATATATATATATATATATATATATATATATATATATATATATATATATATATATATATATATATATTCAGGATACGTATCGGAAATATATTTTCGATTTTTAAAAATATTTACGTCTTTTCGTACAGTGAACTAGAAAAATATATAGGATGCTTTAAGAAATTCTTAAAGGAGTATAGAAGGGAAAAAACAAAAATGGTGTTATTGACACGGATCTATTAAAAATTACAACTTTTATTTATCGGTAGTCAATTATAAGAGTTTATTGAGCTTGAATTATAAAATGAAAAAAGTTGTACCAAAGATTGTCAAAAAATTGGGATCTTGTATTAAATTGGACGGGGATAATCGAAAGATCCTACTCAATAATTTTTGTAAAATTGAGAATGAGAATAACAAGATCGTAAAATTGTTAGATGTAACAGGAACAGAATAGAGAAAATAGAAGTTCTGGAAATGAATGTTTATTCCTTGTGAATTGCAGTACAATAAATAGAGAATAAAACCAACGTGTTGTAACAAACTACAGTCCACTTCTAGCTAAAAATAAGGAAACAAACTTGACTAAATCAATTAACAAACTATCCTAAAAACTAGGACACTTATTTGACTAAATACTTAACATTCCCTCCCTTGAACTAGACTGCATTTGCAGCTAGTTAACATGTGACAGTTCACACACTCCAAGCCTCCTTCTTAGCTCTTGGAATAGCTCCAATTTGAGCGGTTTAGTGAAAATGTCGGCTATCTGCTGTCTTGTACCACAGAACTGAAGCTGCACAACTCCATTATTCACTAGCTCTCGTAAGAAATGGTAGCGCACATCAATGTGCTTGCTCCTGCCGTGCATCACCGGATTTCTTGCCAACTTAATTGTTGAGCTATTGTCACAAAAGATGACAGTGCTCTCGCTGCCCATGTAGCCAATCTTCTTTAACACCCTTTGCATCCATATTGCTTGACAACTACTTCCTGCAGCTGCAATGAATTCAGCTTCGGTTGTGCTTAGTGTGACGATCGGTTGTTTTCGAGAAGACCAAGTCACTGCTGCTCCACTAAGCATAAAAATATAGCCTGAGGTGCTTCTTCTATCTTCCACTGATCTGGCATAATCGCTGTCAGTAAAACCAATTAACTCATGACTTCCTTCCCTTCTGTAAAGAATGCTAAACGTTGTTGTACCTTGCAAGTAACGTAGAATTCTCTTGGTTGCCGAATGATGAAGTTCTGTAGGCCTTGACATATACCTGCTTAATAAGCTTACTGCATACATTATATCCGGTCTGGTAGCAGTCAAGTACATCATGCTCCCAATCAGCTGCTTGAAGAATGAACCATCCATCTCAATACCATTTTCATCTTTGGAGATTTTGAATCCTGGAACCATTGGATTTTCAACCGAATTGCTATGCTCCATTCCAAAGCGTCTCAACACTTCCATCACGTACTTCGCCTGATTGATGAATATACCACCATCAAACTGAACTACCTCAATACCAAGAAAATACTTCATCTTACCCAAGTCCGTCATATCAAATTCCTTCATCATGGACTCTTTGAATTCAATCATCATATTTTCATCATCTCGGGTATAAATTAAATCATCAACGTACAAGCTAATGATTAAATGTTTACCTTGTTTGTTGACTTTCGTAAATAAAGTTTGCTCGTTGTCCTCCTTCCCAAAACCTTCCTTTCGGAAATAGGATTCAATCCGGCTGAACCATGCTCGTGGTGCCTGCTTGAGTCCGTACAAAGCTTTGTTGAGCTTATACACCTTATGTTCCTCATTCTTTATTTCATAACCTCTTGGCTGCTCCACGTACACGTTCTCCGTTAACTTCCCGTGAAGGAAAGCTGATTTCACGTCCAACTGAAACACACACCATCTTCTTTGTGCTGCAAGTGCTAAAATAATTTGAACCGTGTCCATGCGAGCTACGGGAGCATATACTTCTTCATAATCAACTCAGTATTCTTGAGCATACCCTTTTGCGACCAAGCGAGCCTTGTGTTTATCCACTTCTCCGAGCTCATTCAATTTTGTCTTGTACACCCATTTGACTCCTATTCTTTTAGCTCCAATAGGCAGCTCAATAAGATCCCACGTTCCATTCTTCTCAATTGATCTCATTTCGGCATCCATGGTTGTTCTCCATTTCTCCTCCTTTACTGCTTCGTCAAATGAAATTGGATCAGAATGAATAGCACTAGCAAACAAGGCTAAGTGAGTTTGTACCTCTTCCCCTTCATCTGAAAGACCCTCACCAGAGACATAATCACTCAAATATGCTGGTGCTCTTCTAACTCGGGGTGTTATCGGAGGAGCCGCTTCATCTTCTTCATTGCCATCACTGGATTCATCCCTCACCGGAGAAGCTACGTTTTCTTCTTCATTACCATCGTCGGAATCCTCCACCTCTTCACCGTTGTCATCTTCCCATTCCAAATCAAATGTGTTATCTTCTTCAGATTTCTTCTCCCAGTTCCACTGCCCATCTTCTTTAAAGGCGACATCACGGCTGATAATAATCCTTTTAGAGGTCGGATCATATAGTCGATATGCCTTTGATTATGTACTTACACCAAAAAAGACACAACAACGACTCTTATCTTCAAGCTTTGTTCGCCGAGCATCCGGTACGTGAGCATATGCTATACAACCAAAGACTCTCAAGTGCGTAACTGAAGGTATCACCCCATACCAAGCTTCCTCTGGCGTCGTTTCCTTCATCGATGATGTTGGACATCTATTGAGAACATAGAGTGCCCAGTTTACCGCCTCTGCCCAGAATTTTCTTGGAACATTTTTCTCAACCAATAAGCTCCTCACCATATTCATCACGGTTCTATTTTTCCGCTCGACGACTCCGTTCTGCTGCGGTGTATATGCAGCAGTTAATTTCCTCTTGATTCCATTCATTTTACAATATTCCTTGAACTCGTCAGAGGTGAATTCACCTCCACGATCTGTTCTTAAACATTTAATGGACAGTTCTGTTTCTTTTTCAACAAGAGCTTTAAACAACTTGAAGGTAGTGAATGCATCTGACTTGCAAGAGAGAAAATACACCCACGCCTTCCTACTGTAGTCATCAATAAAGCAAATGAAATACCTCTTGTTTCCCTCTGAAGACGGAGAAATTGGGCCGCAAATATCAGCATGAACCAGCTCCAATTTTTTCGACGCTCTCCATGTACTTATCCTTGGGATTACATCTCGATGTTGTTTCCCTTTCAAGCAATTTGTGCATACAAATTCACCCTTCGGGAAACTTGGCAGGCCTCTCACCATGCTTTTTGTTTGCAAAGTCTTCAACCCTTTGTAGCTGAGATGACCAAATCTTCGGTGCCAGAGGTGAGCCACATCTTCGGTGTCGTCGGTTGTTGCTTGGAAACACTCTTCTTTGCTTTCACTTTTGATTGATTTAGTGCTCGAAAACAACACAAACATTCGATTTGCTGCCATGTTGGTTTGGAATACCAAACCCTTTGTGCGGTGATAAATGCGACACTCATTTGACTGCATTAGTACAACAAAACCCCTTTCTTGTAGTTGCCCAACACTGAGAAGATTATTCTTCAAACCGGGAACATAATAGACATCCCGTACAAGGTTGTTTACTCCTTTTATTGTCAATCGAACACTTCCTTTTCCGGAAACATTCATGCTTGCATAATTCCCCAATCTAACCACCTTGTTGAACCCTTCTTCTAACTCACAAAAGAGTGAAGAATCACCACACATGTGATTGCTGCACCCAGAATCAATATACCACATAACATCTCGAGCGTCTCCAAGCGTGTCGACATACGCCATTAGCACCATCTCTTCAGATTCCTCCAAACCAGCATAATTTGCTTGGCACTCGTATTGGAAGTGTCCAAGCTTATGACATTTGTAACACTCAACTGTTTCCTTACTCCTCGATTGGCTGCCCCTACCTCTGCCTTGTCCCCGACCTCCTCGAAAAGTATCTCTTCCTCGCCCTCTTCCACCATAGCTCTCTTCATGAGTTACCTTCAAAGCATGTTCCTCTTCTTCACTTACTTTGAATTTTTGCTCATGAACGAGCAGAGAACTTTGCAAGGCATCCACAGATAGTTGATCTATGTCCTTAGCTTCTTCAATGGAACAAACAATATAATTCCATTTCTCAGTGAGGGTTCTCAAAATCTTCTCAACGATCTTGACATCATCCACCTCTTCTCCATAATTCCTCATGTCGTTTGCAACCGTCATAACTCGACCAAAATAATCAGTGATCGATTCACCTTGCTTCATTGCTAGGACCTCAAAGTCCCGCCGTAGACGATTGAGCTGAGCTCTTTTCACTCGAGCATTGCCTCGACACTTCAACTTCATGGAGTCCCAGAGCTTTTTAGATGTCTCCTTCTGCGTGATCGTCTTCAAAATTGACTTGTCAAGTGACTGAAACAAGTAATTCTTAGCCTTCAAATCCTTCAGCTTCATCTCCTCCAGGTTCTTTATTTGCTCTGTCGTCATTCCATCTCTACTCTATGGCTCTGTGTAGCCTGATTCAACAGCAACCCAATATTCCTTGGATCGAAGGAGATTCTCCATGACCATGCTCCAATGATCGTAGTCGCCGTCGAACTTCGGAATGGAGGCTGCTGCAAAATTTGCTTCTGAACCCATCTCTTAGGTCACTGCTCTGGTACCAGAATGTTAGATGTAACAGGAACAGAATAGAGAAAATAGAAGTTCTAGAAATGAATGTTTATTCCTTGTGAATTGCAGTACAATAAATAGAGAATAAAACCAACGTGCTGTAACAAACTACAGCCCACTTCTAGCTAAAAATAAGGAAACAAACTTGACTAAATCAATTAACAAACTATCCTAAAAACTAGGACACTTATTTGACTAAATACTTAACAAAAATATAATATCAAAACAAAAATTGAACGATACCAAAATATAAAAATAATACAACAAATTTAAAATATTTCTAGAGTGCCTCTCACCTTAACCATGGTTGCGCAGTCCAGAAGAAAAAAAGGAACAAAATGAACACGTCTTCACCCAACTTCCATATTTTTTTCTCCACGACTTCTACATGTTGGGAGACACTTTCAAGTGGTTGTAGACTCTATAAAAAGGCAGTTTTCTCAAGTGTTCATCATCCAAGTTTATACGTACAAGCATTTTAGTTTTAAGCAGATATTTTCACTCTTGTAAAGTGGTAGAGCTCTCATATTGGAGGACTACCACGCCATTAGTCTTAGGATTTCATCTGTAGCTTGGATCAAAAACGTGTCGGCAGTTTAATTCCAGTTCTTTGTACTTGAAGAATTTTCGAAGTTTAATTCCAATTATATCTCCAGTATCTTCTTCAGGTTCTTTTATTTGCAATATTTATAGTCTTGGATTTTGGATTTTATTGTGCATGATTTTGATATATTATTTGTGTTGTTGTTGTCTCATACCTTTATCATACTCGTAGTAACTTATTTTAGGTTTTTAATCATGTTTAATTTTATGTTTAATAAATTCAATCGCATGCTTAATTCAAAAATCATGTTCGACTAATTTGTTTGAGTTCGGTATGTGAGGACCGTCGTTCTGACGAGACTCGGTAATGATTTGGCACAAATACTTTCATAAAAATTTCTTTTCTTTGGTTTGATTTTTATTTCAATACTTTCAAAAAAAAATTCATGACGACGAAATCACTAAGGTTTCAAACCAATAATAACGAGAGTAAAAAATTAGAATTGATTAGGACTTATTAATTTTCAAAAAAGTATTTCACAAACTTAAAATTAAGCGATAACAAAACGTTTGCGGTTTTGAAATATAACAAAAGTCAATAAAAACGAGAATGTGAGACTGATGTTTTTAAACTAATATTTTTCTTCAAAAAGGGTATATTTTAAACTATAACATACACCAATTATTTATTGAGTCCCTCGGGTACACAGGAAATTACATACCGACCTTACCTTCATCAATTATCTCTTTTAATTCTAAATTCTTTAATTTGTGTTCGATTTATTATAAAACTCATATATTCATTAGTCTTAGATTTACACTGCATCAATAGAAAACGGTAGAATTAACCATTGATCTTTGTGAATTCGATATCTAATTAAAACCACATCGCTATTTCCGTGCACTTGCGGATTGATTCCATCACGTATTTCGGTCAAATTGTCTATGTATGCAATCATAGAACAATTATAGTTCCACCTTATAAATTCGTTCTAAATTACATACAATTAGAATTTTCGTGTTACAAACATGTTAGAGATATTAATAATTCAGATTACAATAATACCCCTAAACCTATCTTCCCCACTTGATATTTCAAATTTGACCAATAATTTAAGAGACTTAAAAATGAACAAACAAATTATCAGTAGTTGTAATTGGCTAAACATCAAGGGTACGTAGTGTAGAAATTGTTGTTTGACCTCAAAAGTGGTCCTATAATGATGTAGTAGTAAACACGACAAGATGAAAAACCTTTGACTCAAAATCTAACTTGTATATATCTTTTTCTTTTCCTTGTTATTACAAAGATAACCAAATTACCTTACAAACAGAGGAGTTGTCTATATATACTCACTTAAACCTCCCCACAAATCATCAAACACCAACAACAACAAAGAAGATACACATAGCTAGAGTTGCATATACAAAATGAAGAGTTTTTGCCTCAAAGTTTCTTTTCTTTTAATGTTTACTCTTATTTTAACAGGTTGCATATTTTCTGAAGCTCAAAAATGTCGACCAAACGGTAGAATAAGAGGAAAGAAAGCTCCATCAGGACAATGCAACAAAGAGAATGACTCTGATTGTTGTGTTAGGGGAAAAATGTACACAACTTATGAGTGTTCACCGTCGGTGTCTACTCATACTAAAGCATATCTCACTCTTAATAGCTTTGAGAAAGGTGGAGATGGAGGCGGACCTTCAGCATGCGATAATCAGTACCATTCTGATGACACCCCTGTTGTTGCACTTTCAACTGGGTGGTTCAACGACAAGAGCAGGTGTCTGAATAAGATTACTATAAGCGCTAATGGAAAAAGTGTGGAAGCCATAGTAGTTGATGAGTGTGACTCTACAATGGGGTGTGATGAAGAACATGATTACCAACCTCCATGTCCAAACAACATTGTTGATGCATCCAAGGCTGTGTGGGAAGCTTTAGGTGTGCCTAAAAATCAATGGGGTGGCCTTGACATCACATGGTCAGATGCTTGATTGTAGAAAGATGAAATGTATGTTGTGTGTTGTAATACTTATGTAATATATTAATATGGTGTACTTTAATTCATTGTCTTGTGTGTATGTTATGTAAATATTGTTACAAGTGAGCACTGTGTTATCAATTAAGAAAATTCTATACATTTTCCATTGTTTTATATGTGAACTAAGTCACCATATTATGCTATGACTGCATATTTCAAATGTAATAATATTTGCAAATTGCATAGCTCAATTGTATTTCGAAACTCTCAAGAAAATTCGCATCATAATGCCTATGTTTTGAAATTAGATAAAACATCATTCACATCACCGTATACTAAATTTGAGATTGTTATCAACACATATGATTTTTTAATTAAATGATGCGAAGTAGTCAAATTTTTCTGAAGTCTACGAGAATTGTGGAAATGTTAGGATCAGTCTAAATTACATAGGACTTCATAATTGCGTAAATTTTCAGTGTTTCCTATTTTTAGCACCACTAACCAAAGAAAGGAATCATTGTCATAGAGAGATGTGCACATGTGAATAATTGAGAATGTGGAGAAATGGAAGAGTCAAGCCGAACGTGTGGCACCACGCTCTCTAGTAGTGAGAAAACCCACACATTTCAGCACGTAAATATCTGGCTGGCAGGGTAGCAAGAGCCTTAACTCATTTTCTCAGATTTTTGTTGGTGTGTTCCCTGAGAACTATAAGCCTCTTTCTGGATTTTACTTTGAAGTTAAATATGATTCACAAATAGTTCAACATAACATGAATTTGTTTGATGACAATGTGCAAGATAGAGTGAAGTAGAATGACTTTGATGCTGCTGCATTAATTATCACAAGCAAACATAACTCTAACGGTGTAGAAATAGAATCTCAAAGTTTTGTCTGTTTTTATTCATAAAATGTTATTTAGCAGGAACCTCAAAAATTTATAAAGAACTAATTAGTATGTCTATTTTATATCAAATTATACTGATCTATCACAGTACTCATTTTAATATATAATCATCTTTGATCATTAGTTTAAAGCATTGAAAAGAACAAGTTACCCGAATCAGTAGTTGAAATTGGCTAAACAACAAGGTAGTGTACAATTTGTTGTTTGACCTCAAAAGTGATCCTTTAGTGATGTGGTAGTAAACATAGCAGGATCGAGTAATGTTTAATATTTTCTTTTAATAACATAAATTAGTAATTTAATTTCAACTGACGGAGTTCAAATCATCTTAAAAACAGTTATATAATGCTTGATGAAAATTGAAGTAAATTCACTCCATCAACACTCAATAATGGTGCTGTAAAATTAATATCACGTACTTTGTTCTGTGATCAGATGAAAAGTTCACATTTGGCACAATATGAACTATATGAGATATATATAGGATAACAGATCAAAGGTAAAAGACAACCTCACAGAAGTACACATACTGAAATAAATAGATTGCATCAAATTTTGTAATATCAAACATCAGACATGTAATATCCAACCCACACCATTGGTTCCTAGGGACTCCTAAGGCTTTCCACACAGCCATTGAAGCATCAACCACATTATTGGCACATGGAGGTTGAAAGTAGATTTTCCTGGTTGATCAGAATCTGTTAATGGGCCGAACGATGATATTTGGCTTACTGAAAAGTTGAAGAGAAAATGGGGGTTGTACGCAAGACACTCTCACGATCTCGAAGGATGATATTTGACTTGTTGAAAAGTTGAGAAGAAAATGGAGGTTGTACCTCTAAAGTACTCCGACGATCAAGTAAAAATGGGAGCAAAGAAGTACAAGCAGAATATTAGGGTTTTAGGTTTGAATATTGGATATCTTGCCCTCACATGTGTGAGGGTTTATATACTGCCCATAGTGCTTGGTCATTGGTTCCTATTTTTGAGCCTAGATATGGGGGTCCGCAAAAATAAGTAACTGTCAGGACTTAGTCAAAACGGGCAGGCGTGCCTGTAACTAGCCGTTGGTTCCGATGAGGAGGCGGATTACGGGCAGAGAGACGTTCTGGACGTTTCCTGGTTGTCTACTCGACTCGTGTCGGACTGACGGAAAGATACCTGTTGACTAGGTCAGGCGCGCGTATCAGACATCTCTGATCGCGTGCATGGGGGAATGGTCGACCAGGGATGTTGGATCAGTGTTTTTGATTCGTACCAAAGGTAGAAGCGGATTGGACCAATTCTAACTATTGAGTCAGTCCAGAACAAAAGTCATGTTCTGCATCACACTCCTTTGATGAGTCGCACTCATCAACTACCATTGCAACCACACTAACCATTCCCATTTATGGTGATATTATGAAGGCATCTTCTCTTTGTGTTGAACCATCTAGTGGAAAGTGCCACCACCGGCGTTTCATCAGAATGATACTTGTTGTCACATGTTGAAGGGTTGTAACCATCTCTACCTTTTTCAAAACTGTTAAGAGTGAGATATGCATTCGTGTGACTAGACACCAGCAATGAACATTTGTATGTGTGATATTTCTTACCTGGCATACAACATAAGTCAATCTCGTGATTGCAATGCCCGGGAGGGCTTTTACCTTTAACTATACCATTAGGGTGACAATTTTGAGCTTCAATGCATAGACAATGTGTCAAGAGGAAAAATAGTATGAGAAGAAGCACTTTGTTGTGTGTGTACCTTGTTTTGTTGTTTGTATGGTTCTTTTGAGTGCTTGATATAAATAACTAGGATGTTGCTCAAATTGGTTTCTTGAAAATGATTCTTCTTTTTTGTTTCTTTTAAAAAATGATTACATATGACTAGTATGAAAGTATCTAAAATGAACACGGTAGTATAGAACTGTTCCATAGACCTTAAAACCAATCCTTTATTGTGGTAGTTGTCATTTTAGCCTAACACGACAGGGTATAACTCTTTCCCTTGACCCAAAAACTAACCTCCACCCTCTCCTTAATTACAATTTACTTTACAAACACTAAGTTTCCTATACATACTCTACTAAAACCTCCATCTTAGCATAAAAAATTAAGAGGAAAAACATAGAGTTATATAGACAAAATGAAGAGCTTTTGTTTCAAAGTTTCTTTTCTTTTAATGTTAACTTTTATTTTAACAAGTTGCATATTTTCTCAAGCTCAAAAGTGTCGTCCAAACGGTGGAATCAGAGGAAAGAAAGCTCTATCAGGACAATGCAACAAAGAGAATGAGAAAATATGCAACTTGTTAGACTCCTTCATCACAGCGAACAACTTCTCAATTACACCTCGTTTCCACTTCGTCTCTCTTCTTCTTAACTCCGCTCACAAGGATTATAAGGGAAAAACAGAAGTGAGGCATTAAAACTTGTTAAGAATTTTAAAAGTTATATTTTCCGTAAATCAACACAAAATTATTTTATCCATTGGATCATGATTCATGAGCATGAGGGATGACAGGAGATAAGCATGAGAGGGTTCTTTTTTCCAAAATTTTATAATTTCAAGTGAATTTCAGAAGCTTATTATTGAGCTTATTATTTGAGCAAATGAAATTCATACAAAACTAAATCAGAGATTGCAACACGACAATAATAAAATTCAATCAACACCATAAAACAGATGAAACAACAAATATCATAACCAGCTTAAAGACCAGATGCACAGTGAAAAATATTGATGAAATTTAAAATAAGTCAGCAGAAACAGACATATATAAGACTGATCAATTTCAACCTAAAACCAAGAACTTGTAGTGGATAGCTAATTGCAAAAGAATAAACAATTTAGCCATTAACAACGCAGAGTTAATCTGTAAGTAGAGAAGAAATATGAAACCATAAAAATGCTGTCTAACAAAAGCTCAATAATTTTTGGGGAAAATGGTTCTCAAAACAAAACAGAAATAGTTTAACAAACAAAATTGGAACACAGGCAATAATATATGATTCAAACAATCTAAACTTAAACTTCTTATTTATCTGCCTTAGCAGCAGATGCAGCAGCTTGTCCCCTAAGACGCCCAGTCCTCTTGGCAGCAATGAGACCAACCTTCTGTCCAGGAGGAGCATCACGTCTGACCGTACTTGCATGACCAATATGCTGGTGATTACCTCCTCCATGGGGATGCTCAACTGGATTCATAGCAACACCACGAACCTTAGGCCAGCAGTTCCTCTTCACTCTGAATTTGTGGTAAGCATTACCAGCCTTCAACATAGGCTTCTCAGTTCTACCACCACCAGCAACTTGTCCAATCATAGCCCTACAATCACTAGGCACAATCTTCTTGGCACCAGAAGGAAGCTTGATCCTATAACAAGCAAAATTCAACATCACATCTTAATACAATAATACAATCTTAATCCAAGTCAAAGTTCAAACAAAACAAAAACCAAATCAAACTAACCCTAAGAAAATAAATTTGAAATCAAAAAATACGGAAACATGGATCAAAATAAACAAATGAACTAAAATCAAACAGCAACAATTACAAAATAACTAAGTAAAGAATTCAACATATAAACATAAAATTCATAAATAACCTAATAACCAATTAAACTTCAGTTTGTTACTCAAATTAAACCACTAGTAAAAGATTAATCAACAAAATACACTAAATCAAAGTAACCCTACAAAATTTGCAACTTGAAAACTAAAAAATGTGCAATTTTGGATCAAAAATAAACAATTTTAATAAAATCAAAAAACATCAAATTCAAATTAATCAGGTTAAAAAGTCAACCAAATAAACACGAAATTCATTAACTTCGAAATCCACAATTAAACTAGAGATTGGTACTCAATAAAACATTAACACACAGAAATTTCAACAACTAATATAATTTAAAAACAACAAATAATAGGTTAAGTATAAAATTACAGAAAATCTAAATAGAACATATTAAAAACCCAGATCAAGCATTACATTTATAATCCTAATCCCTGACTTAAATACTAAAAGAAATTTCACAAAAACATAATCAATAATCATATAGATAATAATCATCCAAATGTACATGTATAAATAATAAAATAAATTATAATAAACT